TTTTATCTCATTTTGTTTTGAACATTAAGCAAGACATAATTGTTGAATTAATAAGAAGAATGAACCTATTACTAATTATTAAACTTATGTGTAAATTAGCCAATGAAGAGTAAGCTCCCATTTCTCTTGTATCAACGCCAAAGGAGAAGGGGCATTTGGGAGCAGGTTCTTTTTTCCTACAATAAAAGAGAAGACAAAGGATATATGAACATAAAGGCTGTGACTCAGGCTTGATGCCATATTAGGTGTATTGCATTTTGCTTGTTATCAGGACACTTGACATTTGATTCATTCTCTCAATTTTCACAGCAATAGCCAAACCATATTTTTTACCAACATCTTTCCTGATATACTAGAGGATGTCCAGACTTACAGCATCCTGTTGTTGAATAAAGAATGAGGAGAGGGGAAAATGGAAGCTGCCATTCTTTGTTCACTGCACCTCTGATAAAAATGACTTGCTTTCAGACACTGCATATTAATTCAATATATACAAATGAGTAAGGTTGGAGAAGAAAGTGAGCTCTTTCTATTGTTTTAACAGTCCTTTTTAGGAGCTCAGTACCACGTCTAGGATTAAAGCTTAGCTAAAAATTGAATTCCGCTTCTCACCAAAAAGGAGTAGCAGGGACACATTTATGCTTCTACCTTGAAACAATCAAAATAATTGGGAAAATTATAGGAAATAATGATTCTCATGCCACTGAACATTAGGCAACAAAAGATAATGCCCCTGCGAGTTGGGGAAAAAAGATGTGTACTGTGTAATTGTCCCAGCTTATTGCCTTGAAAGAGTTTCCAGATTATGGCTCAGGGAGGGGAAAACCAGGAGAAATTTGATAGACTCACATGGTTGAGAAAGGCTGAACTGAGATTCTGGGGAGACCAAGGAAGCAGAAGTTAGAGGGCAGTGACGCCCTTCCGAGTGTAACAGCATTCGAAATGCAAACCAACACGTTCACATATTCCTTCAGAGCAAAGCTCTGTAAAACTCCTAAGACAAATCCTGTCCCCAAACACGTGTGATACTAATTCATGGAGCAACAAAACCTGTGTGAATTACATAAAATACCTTAATGGTGAAAACCAAGCTACTTCCAAACACCGCCCCTTCCGCATCCGCCCTCCTAGTGTCCCCTGGCCAAGAAACTAAGTACTGATCAAGGAACAGATTTAAGTTTTCTTTTCTTATCCATTCCCACCATACCCTGGAGACAGCTCAGTCAAAGGGTGATTTTTTTTTTTTTTTAAACTGCATGTATAAAGTCCAGATAGAATTAGTACAATAAGTCCATGAAATATACCGCCCAGACACTTTGGGATGAACCAAAGATATAAAAACCAGCCCAGGTTCTTTCTCACCATATATTTCATGTCTCCTGCAGAGGGGCTAACTTTGCTACGCCATTCGCTGTGAGTCGTGACGCTCTCATCTATAAATTTGTGGTCTCTGATGGATGGGACTATGGAAGATTTACTGGCTTACCAGACACAGACCTAAGATCCATAAGCAACTAAATTTGTTCTTCAGAGCCATGGGAGGACGCCCAGGATTCTCCGACTGCGTAGACCATTAACGGCTCCGACAACCCGATTTCCTCGGCCTCTCGGTCCACGCTCTCACTTGGCTCCAACCTCCTGCACGGGCTCGAGCCCAGCACTGGGACGCTCAGAGTGCTGGGCCCCCTTGGGCAGTGCTGTCATGGGGGCGGGACACGCGGTAGGATGCGCCTGCTACAAAGCCCTGGGCTACTGGGGAAAGCCTTGAGTCTCCCCGTGGTGCAGGAGATGGAACCATCCAAACTGCTTTCCACACATCCAATCCAGAGTCACCACACAGTGCCCCTGGATTGTAATCCAGATTGCAACACGAAGGCAGCACAATGTTAGGTAAAGAACGAGTATGGGATCCTGACTATGGGCCAGGCCTGTGCAAAGAATTACACATCAGTTTCATAGACTCAGCTTC